CGCTACGGGCTTTGGGCAGCCCCCATACCTCTGGACCCTGCGCCGCCAGAGCCCGGGAGGGGAAGTGCCCGGCCGGGGGCGCAGGGTCCGGAGACATAGGGGCTGCCCGAAGCCCGAGCGCTACCGGCTTCACGGTTTGCTGGGCAGCCTCCAGACTCTGCGCCCCCGGCTGGGCGCTTCCCCTCCCGGGCTCCAGCTGTGCTGGGGAAGCGCCGGCCGGGGGCACAGGGTCTGGGGGCTGCCCGGCAAACCGTAAAGCCGGTAGCGCTCGGGCAGCCCTTTTCGCGTGGCTGGGAGTGGAAGGGAGGAGGGGGCGGAGTTAGGACAGGGAAGGGGCGGAGTTGGGGCAGGGCAGGGGTGGGAAATGGGCGGGGCCAGGGCCCCGTGGAGGGTCCTCTTTTTTAATTTGTTAAATATGGTAACCCTACTCACTCTGTCTCTTTCTGCCCCCACTCTGCCCCCTGCCCGTCCTCCCCCAAACACCTCCTGCCAGCTGCCTAACAGCTGATTGGCGGGGCTGAACAGCTGATCGATGATCCGACCGAACAGCTGATCCACAGCCCCGCTGAACAGCTGCGGCTGATGGGTGCTGAGCACCCCCTATTTTTTTCTAGGGATGCTTGAGCCCCAGAGCACTCACGGAGTTGGCGCCTATGGCTGCAGCACTGACAGACACACCCAAGCTAGCTTAGATCTAGCTAGGATGTACTGGGGGCCCACGCTGCCATGGCTGCACTGCTTTTGTTACTCAAATGAGCTTTGATCCAGCCAGATCATGTTGAGCTAAGTAAATCATCGCTAGCTCAGGTATAGCTACACATGCTGCAAACACACCTCCCAGCTGCAGCGTAGACATGCCCTTTGTGTCGTTGGTAAATGTGGTTATTTGGGACTAGACCGCCACGCCGGTGTGTTGTTGCATAAAGAACACAACTATCGCTAATCCTCCCTTGGGAAGGAAATAGTTAATAACCCTGCCCACTTCTTCCACTCCACCCACACGAGGGTCCTGAGGGTCCTGGAGCTGAAAGAGGGCACATTACCACGGTGCAAAGGGGACTCAACCCTGCAGTCCTTACTAAGGCAGAACTCCCACTCAGTTACCATTCATTATC